CGCTGGAGGTGCAGCTCTACCTCGCGCCCAGGTACTTGCGGATGCACGGCTGGGTCAGCGACATCATAGACGCCGAGAGGTCCATAACCGCGGGCAGCTGCAATGGCGGCAAGCTCGCCAAGGTCTACCTGGGGCCGATCCTGCAGAGGGCCCACACCAACAACACGCACGCTGGCTTGTGGACGTTCGTGGACGACATTGTCGCGAGAACAGAGGGCCAAACCAAGCAGGCCATTAGGGATCTCATCGGGGCTGGCGCCGACCTATTCGAAGGCATGACGGGAGTGGGGCTCCGAGTTTCCCCCGAGACCACCGTCGTCGCCTCCAGCCAGACGATCGCCTACGCAGTGCACGACAGCCTCAAGAAGAAGGGCCACCACGTCAAGGTGGCCAACAGCGCGGTCGACCTCGGCATCGACGTGGGAGGCGCCAAGAGACGGGTTGTCGTCAAGGCAATCAAGAGAGCCAGAACTGCGAGGAGGCGCACCCACCGCATCATCGCCAAGGTCAGGAAGCACGCCTCCCTCGCCAAGACTGCGAAGGGCTTGTGGAACACGGGATCCAGGCCACAGGGGACCTACGGCCACCAGATCATGGGCCTCGCCCCAGCGGCCATCCTCAACCAGAGGCGCCAGGCCGTCCAGGCTTCGGCGGGCAAGGTCCCTGGCCGTTGTCTCTCCACAGCCCTCGCCGTCGTCATGGGGAAGAAGGACCCCGCCATCGAGCTCAGGCGCCAGTCGATCGCCGAGTGGCTCAACTTCTGGATGCAGTACCCAGAACACCATAGGCGGGCCACGCATGCGTGGAAGCTGATATACGACAAGTCGGTCAAGCGCGGCAACAAGAAGTGGAGGAAGGTCAAGGGGCCATTTCCGCCATCCAGGCCATCCTCCTGGACGCAGGCTGGACCTGCCCGACGCCAACGGAGTGGTCACGACCGCCGTGGGCAGGCGAGACCTACACCCAGGAGCGGCAGCTACCCCACATTGGACAAGCCGACTGGGAGGACAAGCGCTATGACGTGGACCCTGCGGAGTTCGTCCACGAGTTCTGCCTGTCCCTTGAGAGGAGCCTCTGGAGGGATGCTGCCAAACATCCACATGGAGAAGGATTGCAACGGGGGGGCCAGACGTCCACATAGTTGCCAACGAGATGGAGAGGTTCACGAGGAAGGGCCAGCACGACCAGGCGGCCCTCAACCTCTGCGTGGTCGCGGGGGCGCAATGGCCCAGAAGCCAACTCATCGACGCGGGGTACAACGCTACTCCAACTTGTCCGAGGTGCGGCGGGGCCGACGAGACGCTCATGCACAGGGTCTGGTTGTGCCCCTGCAACCGCAATCACGAGGACTACACGGATTCTGACGCCCTCATGCCCTCTGCCCTGGCTGGAGCAGAGGCCGGCCCGCATATTGGCTCCGCGGCCTGCCTGCGCGCGCTGACACGCACCCGCTCTTTGCCTCTTTGGGAGGGGGCGGCGGGTGGAGCTGGGTTGGGCGGGGCTGGGAGGATTGTGTCAGCAGCGACGGCACCCTCACTCTCTTCGGGGACGGCTCTGGAGGTCAGTACAGTGATGACCCACGACGCCGATGAGTGGGGGCCGCCTGTGCTGTTATGAAGTGCCTCTTCGAGGAGTGGGCCCCCTGGGGAGGCGTCATTTCAGGCCTCGAGGGCCCCTTTCAGACTGTGCCTCGTGCTGGGCTGCTGGCTTTCGCGCTCGCCCTAGAACACTGGGAGGGCGACCTCTGTTTTATCACAGACCACCTCCGGTTATATGACGGATGGCGGTCGAATCGACACTTGCGCCCCCGCGATGGCGCAAATCAGGATTTGTGGGCACGTATTGCCAAAGCAATTCGCGCACGTGGCACTAGACAGCTTTCTGTAATATGGGTGCCCTCACACAGCGAGGAGTCACCTGGCCTTGCCTCGGACCCTGTGATATACTTCACACTATCGGTAACGCGACGGCCGATGCATGGGCAGGGGTAGCGGCCCAACAGTCCTACGAGGCAGCGCTCGTAGGACAGGCCCCTCCCACAGACCTGCACGATGCCCAGTGCACCCTCATCCGCAGGAGGGCGCGCCGAGCCCTAGCTGACACGCTTGCAGTCGACCCCTGGGTGGCGGAGCGACCCTCGCAGGCCAAAGGCCCGCGCCTCACCAAGCTGCAGCTAGCCATGCAATCGAGCCAGCACGCCTTTGAGCTCAGAGCGGGCAAGTACCTCTGCTCTCGGTGCGGGCTCACCACTGACAAGTGTAAAGTACGCCAGGCCTGTGCCGCGCCGTGCACCCACCAGCCGCCCCTTCCGTCTGCCAGTGACCAGATAGTGCCAGTACAGGGCACCATCACAATTGCGGGCCGTGAGCTGCACGCCAGCCACAAGCCTCATTTCATGCAGAAGTACCGCCTGTACTTCTGCCGCGGGTGCGGTAAGACGGCTACTGAGGACCCACGCCACCTTGCCGCACCTTGCGCAGGTCTCACCAAGAAAGGGCGA